GACAAATGATCTCAGGACAAATGATCTCAGACAAATGATCTCAGACAAAATATCTCAGACAAAATATCTCACGGACAAATGATCTCAGGACAAATGATCTCAGGACAAATGATCTCAAGGACAAATGATCTCACGGACAAAAGATACCAGGACAAATGATATCAGGACAAATGATACCACGGACAATTGATCTCAGACAAAATATCTCAGACAAAATATCTCACACCTAAATTTTAATAGTGTGTTGGGTGACTTTAGTTGATCTGAACAATTTTTATTAACTGTTGTATGGTTTTGTTTAATATGTTTAATATTGTTTATAGGCCCATATGATAATTGTAAGAAATGTATGCCGTATAAATTTATCATATTGCACTTTTTAAAATTGTATATTGCATTTTAAAATTAGGATTATTACTATAGAAGATTAAAGAAATTGTTCGATAGACAGCGTAGGCGGGCTTGCCAAACATGAGACAATCCAACCATGTCAGGTGGACGAAACTAGATCAAAGAGGATGAAATAACAATAGAGAAACACCTTCGTATCAAGGTGGCAGCCCGCTTTGATGGTAGAGACATGCCTTAAGGGAAAGACATCCGACCTCCATAAATAATACAACTAATAGCTAAATTCAATAGTTATGCGTCGGTCACACCTTAGTGATCAGGTGACTAATGCTTATTTAAGACAAACAGCGGTCATCGCGGAGTTAGAACATGTCGAGCAAGAGTTCACACAATACATGATCACATAGTATTGGAGAGGTGTGATCATAACGATGTACTGTCAGCAAAGAAACGTAAACGTTATGTTTGTGTTGATCATGCAATAAAAACAATAATTTTACGTTACGAACCTGAAGACCCATTAACATTTTTGAAAGATATTTCGCATGTTTTAAACATTATTGTTGTATAGCTACCGTTACTTTGTTTTATACATTATCATTTATCATACCTTTCAGGCTAAAGGAGAAAGTTTGTTTTAATTTTTATTTTTTCAAATCAAAGGCCATTACAAAGATTAAGTTAAATAAATCTTTTGATGGTTAGTTAAGTTTAACAAATTCATTTTATTCACAATTATTATGCGTAAAGAAAGTAAACAAAACCATATTGACAGTCAATTTAAAAAAAAAAGTTCAAATGAACTAAAATCATTGTACATACTATCAACATTTTGCTGTGAGATATTTTGTCTGAGATATTTTGTCTGAGATCATTTGTCCATGATATCATTTGTCTTGATATATTTTGTCCTGGTATCTTTTGTCCTTGAGATCATTTGTCCTTGAGATCATTTGTCCTGAGATCATTTGTCCTGAGATCATTTGTCCGTGAGATATTTTGTCTGAGATATTTTGTCTGAGATCATTTGTCCTGAGATCATTTGTCATGGAACCATATATATATATATATATATATCTCCAGCCAACTGCGAATAGCCCAAATACTACATCTATTCCCAGTCTGCTATCATTTCATTCAAAATACAACTGTGAGTAATATCTTATAATAACAAAAGCGTTTATTGTGACTGGGGAGTGAGGTGTAGATGGTAATCTATTGCTTTAGGTACGTAAAATCGACCAAGAATAGTAATGTGAAAAAAAGTTGACTTCTTAAATTGTAGTAGTAGTAATAATGTTACATTTTTAGGAGGATTTATGTTTTAAAATTTACAAAAATGTTTCAAAGTTTCATTCATGTTCCTGTTTTAAAGAGTTTTATTAAAACTGTTTAGTAATAAATAAAGCAGTGGCGCAGCTAGGATTTTCGGGCCCCCTATGCAAAAATTATCGGTGGGCCCCTTTTGTCAGCGTCAGGCTATAATGGAGTAAATCGAAGTAATTTAACTGCAACTTAAGAGGGAGGATTTTATATAATATAAAGATTCTTTATGCCTACATTTTATACCTCCTGATTGTGTATTTATACGATATTATTATGTAGTTTTGTAAAAATGTTAGTCTAACAGTTTATTTGTTTTTTTAGGTAAACAGGCGCGGTCAGCATCGGATGTCAACATTTAGGCGTGACACCATGACAAAACATTGTACAATTTACTGTCAAACTAAGTTGTATCCAGCTAAAATAATAAAAGATTAGTAAGACAGGAGTGACACCCCACCAAAAATGCTAAATTGTTGGGGACAGTGGAGTGGCAACTTTAGTAAACACGTAGTGTAACACCCGACTTTGTAACGCCACTAACCAAATAGAATTGTTTTTTAATTGCTCATGATTTATTTAGATCTGTGTTTTTTTTCGTCATGCTTTTAATTTTGTAAAATGATTAATAAGTCCCATTGAGATATACTTTAACTGCGTCTGTATGTTCGATTCTTAATCTTAGGATGGCCAAGCTGCTGACCCAATGGGCATATCTACAAATAATTAGATTTAAGAATTCCATCATAAACATCAAAATAACCTACCTGATCAACGTAGAATGTTAAAGAGTGTTTATACTAACTAGCGTACCCGTTGCTGTGATCTAGTCCCACATACCATGGTAACAAAATAATTTGTAAGGGTTTCAGCAACGCGTTATCAATTGTGTATTTTTAGTCGTGTGACCTTGTTTTCTAAAATTGAGATAGTTAAAATGTAAACAACAACACTGCTATTTTTTCGGATCTTTGTTGCGGGGGCGCGGGTTGGTCCACACGATCGCTCAGACGCCCTTGGGCATGCTGTGTGAAAGCATTGAGTTTACGCTAATCATCTTCCTTTATAGTGAGGTTAAACAACTTTCGGCAACCACCTAGGTGTTAAGGTCTTCGCGGGAGAGACTGGTTACACCACCGTAGGTAGCCAGATGCAACCTCTGGTTCTGCTTAGTCGTCGAATGTAGAGGCCCACCTTGTCCATATAGCAGAATACTCGTGTGATTGGTGTCAAAAGACGTCCCTGTTGCAGTTTGACCGCTGAATCAAGACTCTGCAGGATGCCCAATCAACGGACTTCGTACACTCAGGTATCCGCTGGGTAACTCGGGCGCCCAACAGTTACTACTGCTGATGTGCTGGAGGACACCCCTTGTTTTACTTAATAATCGATTTTAGTATCCCGACGTATCTCTTGTGTATGGCGCTCATTAAAACAAATATAGGCGCCGTAGTGCTCATGGGGGAACCCGTGGCGAACAGGGTTACACGACCACCGAGGTGCCAGAAGCAATTTTACTGCTGAATTAAGAAGTAGCGCTTACCCGCTGCGCCAGACACCGAATCAACGGACCCCAGGTGCAAAGATAGCTGCTGGGAAACTCTGGTTTGCGAACTTACTGTCGGGGCGATGCCCTCAGAAATAAAATAAAAATTTATTGGCAGAAACCTTCATAAAAGTCCGAGTTTCTTTCAGGCACCTTTTCCGAAAAAATATCTGGGAAAAACACTTTCTTTGGAATATTCTCAACAACTTCCCAAAGTAGGATTGAATTTCGTGGAGGGCAGACAGTTGGGAGGTGCAGGTCTGTGGGGTGGGGAATTTCCCAGTAAGTTGAGGTTTGTAGGGATGCATGTAAATTTACGGGTGCTGGATGCCGATTTTACAAAATTTATTTATAGGCTATTTCTCTCAATGGCTTGCAAGACCATGCGGCAACGCCTGTAGATTATTATGGATGGGCCCTGTTCTATCCCCCACCCCCACTGAATCCCACTACTTGTTAAGTAAGAAAGGACTGGGAGCCTTTTTAGAACTTTTAATTATTTCTACATTAGAAAAGAAACTGAAATTTTCTTTTCGGTTTAAAATTATTTATATTAAACAAATATTAAAATTTCAATGTAAAAGTTTTACTTTTTTAAAGAGGGAAAAGGGCCCCCCAAGTGTCGTGGGCCCCTATGCCTTGCTTACGCTAACTTTACGGTGGCTACGCCACTTAAATAAAGACTAGCAATGTTTTCATCAGATGCAACCGATCCCATTTACTTTAGCAGCCATCTTGTTTAAATTTAATTAAAGTTAATTTCTGGCCTATATTGTATATTAAATATTATTTAGCCATTGATTGTGGTTTAATATTCAGTTATCTATAATATTTGACACAAATATATCACAATACTTCTGTTAAAGCCTTAACAATAACAATGAGGCAACTTGTTCAAACATTACTAGATCTAGCCTTGGCCGATTTTACGCACCTACAAAATAGTTTTAACGTAATTTTTAATAAAATAAGGCCAAGGCCTAGCATAAATATGATAATACTAGGATAATCTATCGTTTTTATATTTAACCGTTTTAGGACTTTTAGGTACGTAAAAACAGCTGAGGCTAGTAATGTGCTAGAAAGGTGGCTCATTGATATAGCTTACTGTAATACAATTGAAAAAATAAACCAAAAGCAATGTTTAAATATATTTTAAAAAGCCAGAAATTGACTTTAAACAGCCTTGTTTGCGAGCAAGATTTGCTATATAAACAGCAGCCATCTGTAAATAAGAGTGGTTTCCCCTGAATCTCTAGCTTAAAAATGTAACCCCTGAATCTCTAGCTTAAAAATGTAAAATATTGTAAAATGTTACCAAAAAACTAAAAGAAGATGGCTTCTAAATTAAATGAGCTTAGTTGCATCTGATGAAAAAATCGCTAATCTTTAATTATTACTGAAAAGTTTCAATAAAATTGTTTAAAAACAGGTAGTGGTCTACATGAATGAAGGGTTGAAACATTTCTGTATCTTTTACAACATAAATCAAAATTTTTCTAAAAATGTGAAATAATTACAAAATGTGAGGAGTCACCCTTTTTTCACATTTTTTAGCCTTGGCCGATTTTACGTACCTTAAACGATAGATATTTTAGATTACCAATACTAGAAATAGTAATACTAATAAAATAAATACTTAAAATAAATAGGCCTACTATGCCTACTATTTAAATAGTTTAATAACTAGGCCTACAAATATAATTATAATAGTAGGCCTAATATTTAAATTTATTAATATTTATTTATAATATTAATTATCAGCCTACTATTAAAGGCTATTCACTATTCATCATTTGCTATTCAAAATTCAACTATCAATTTATTAGGCCCTACCATTTTTATTTAAAATTCACACAGAATAAATATTAGGTGAAATAGCATACCGTTTTTGATTAGTTATTACTAGATCTAAATATTAATAAAATATTACTGTTAGCCAGTATTAGGCTATTCATGTTTTGAATGTAAATATACCCACAATCACGTCACAACAAAAAAATAAAAATAAAGTGGGAGTGATCTCCCCTAGACTTTCTCGAATATAACACTTACTAGCCGGCCAGGCCCTGCTCTGGCCACTGAAAACTGAAAAACCTATCTGTAAAGGACCATAACATGTGTGTTGAGTAATCAGCATATAACCGGCAATCTTCTCCCTAACTACAAGCAACTAAACCAAAACACACAAAAAAGCAGGAAGGCCCGGGGGGCCAAATAGCACCCTTTCGGGGCGCCGGAGAACGCCCGGATTTGATTTAGCTGAACACTATAGTAACCAATCGACGCCGCTAATTATGTCATTTTTTTCCCAACACCAAAACAAAGTAATAAAAAGAAAAATTGTTCCCCCCAATGTAATTTTTTTAAAGGGAAGTAATCGTGTTTTCCAAATTTATCAAAATGAAAATTGTTAATAACACCTTCAACATTATTTTTTTAAAATAATGTATTTACACGATGAGCACTTTATATATATATATATAGAATCTATATATACATATATATATATATATATATATATATATATATATATATATATATATATATATATATATATATATGTATATATATATATATATATATATATATATATATATATATTACTATAACTCAAGATAGTTTACATGTTTGAATATTTATTTGTCTGATTGACTATTGTAAATGGTTCTACTCTATGTGGAGAGCTGTAAAATAGTATGTAGGTAGAGAACAATTTTTGTTTTCAGACAGACTGTTAATCACAAATTTATTTAAAGACGTTAATTAATTTATTGATTTATTCATAGGTAGATTAACCACATTAATTTTAAAATTTTAGAACAATGGCTTAACTTTGACTGAATAGTGATGTTTGATAACTCATTTTTTTGTTTGTTTTTCTGATTTGTTATTGGGGAGAATCTGCATAATGTGTAGAGCTGTAAAATAGGATTTTGGGTGGTAAATATTATTCCTTCTTAAACACACTGTTAATTACAAACTAATTTAAACAATGTTTTCAATTTTTTTTTCTTAAGGCCTGCATGTGAATGATAAGGTTGACTATCAGAACCTCGTGGGGCACAGGGCAGGTGAAGTAGAGTTCACCTGTTTCTATGTTCTCAGCATATGAAAGGATAGTGTGGTCAGAGCCATGCTCGGCCTGAATCGTTTTTTTTTTTAAAATTCAAACATGTCTGAGACTTGGTGGGACACTGTGCAGGTGAATTAGAGTTTAGTAGTTTTTAAAATATAAAAAAAATCTTTTGGAAGGTGGGGTCTTGTTATTTTGCGATAATAAGTGCTGACAGACGTGATGTCATTTATGGATGACCCCCGAAACCCACAGTTATCTAACTAGATAACGGGTAGTCTAGTATACTACTAAAACTCAAGTTTACATGTTTGATAACTCATTGTTTTGTTTGTTTGTTTGTCTGATTTGTTATTGGGGAGAATCTGCATGATGTGTAGAGCTGTAAAATAGGATTTTGGGTGGAAAACATTGTTCTTTCTTAAACACACAGATAATTACAAACTAATTTAAAGCCGTTAATTAATTTATTGATATATTCATTGGTAGATTAACCACATTAATTATAAAAAATTAGAACAATGACTTTACTAATAGTAAAAAAAGATTTATTTCCTTTTACAACCATTTTCAATTATTTTTTCCTTAGGTCTAGATGTGAATGATAAAGTTGACTATCAGGACCTCGTGGGGCACAGGGCAGGTGAAGTAGAGTTCTCCTGTTTGTATGTTCTCAGCATATGAAGTGATAGTTTTTTTACTTTCTCGTATATACGAAGTATAGAGAAAGTATTGTAATCGTGCAAAAAAAATCGAGATTTTTACACATCTCGACGTTTTACACCTCACTGATACGGAAAAACATAATTTTGCAATCTTGTCTGTGTGTCTGTCTGTCTCTGTGTGTGTGTGTCTGCCCGTGTGTAAACACGATAACTTGAGTACCGTTTCAGCTAGGTTGATGAAATTTCATATATAAGTATTTTATCAAAATCGTAGATCCGTATCAAGTTTTGAGCGGAAGTGGTACTTTTTTACTTTGAATTTTTCAAAAGCCTATAACTCGAGTACTATTTCAGATAAATAAATGAAATTTTACATGTAAGTAAAAGATTTAATTCTCTACCTTCTTTCAAATTTTGAGTAATTTCCGTTGACCGGAAGTAGTAATTTACGCTATTTCTGATTTCTCAAAAAACTAATGTAAATTTATAAATTACTAGAATACCCGTCATCCGTTGGATAACTGTGGGTTTCGGGGGTCATCCATAAAAAAACATCACGTCTGTCACTCAGAGGCAGAGCGACCCTTCCCGGCGCCCGGGGACAAAGTTTTCGATTTTAACCCCCCCCCCCCCGCAAGATTTCGATTTGAAACCCCCCCCCCTCAAACTTTTGATGTGCATCCCCCCACTCAAACTTTCGATTTGAACCCCCCTCAACCTTTCAATTTGTTTTTCCAAACCATTTTGGCGCCCCAACATATGTCCCCCCCCCCCCGCCACCCCCTTCCCCCCTCCACCTCCCCCCGCCTCCCCTCCCCCCCCCCGCCTCCCCTCCCGCCCCCCCCCCCCCCCCTCCTCGCTACGCTACTGCAGTGTCACTTATCGTCACAAAAAACAGACCCCACATTCAAAAATATGTTTCTTATCTTTTAAAAACACCGAAAACACCGATTTCGGACTATCCCTTCATATACTGACGTCACATGTGACCTACTCAACTCTACTTCACCTGCCCAGTGTCCCGCCAAGTCTCAGACAACATGTTTTTATCGTTTAAAAAACGATTCCAGCCGAGCATGTCTTTGACCACACTATCCTTTCATATGCTTAGGACAAAGAAACAGATGAACTCTACTTCACCTGCCCTGTATCCTGCCAAGTTCAGATAGGCAACTTTATCATTCACATCTAAAAAAAAAAAATTGAAAAAAAATATCATTGACATATTGGTCTAGAACAGTGGTTCCCAACCTATTTCGAGTGGCGACCCCCTTTTTATAAAAAGTAAGTGACCCGCGACCCCCATAGAATTAAAAAGCCGAAATTAGTATGTAAATTAATAAGCACTAAAATAAGATTTTCTAGTAGACTTTCAATATGAACTACTCTTGATAACTGTTTTAATAGCATGAGTAAAATTGCATACTATTCACTAAACCTTCGTGGTTAAGTTTTTAATTTTAAAAAATTTTTGTTAACGCCAACCTATGTCATTATAATTATCTTAATTTTGTTTTTAATCGAAGAATAGTGTTGAAAATATATTCTCGAAAAGTCACTACATTTTACGTTTGGGTATGAATGGTGAATACTACATCAAAATTGTGTCTGCAGTTTTTCATCTTACTCGGAATCATTCTGCAAATCTAAGAATTCATCTTTTAATTCTTCGGGAATGCTGGGAACATCAAGGGAAGAAGAAAATGGGTAATGCGTAGATGCAGATTCTTCTTTTTTCAGCTCATAGAAATAGCGATGCAGTTCGTTTTCAAGAGATTCAAGATGCCCAGAAATCGCTTCTTTCAAAATTTTAATTATCTCACAATCAGATTCATCAACCACACCGCAGAGTTTCTCAAATTTACAATATTTCCAAGATTTATTTTCTTTACCGATTTTGCAGCTTTGATAAAAATGCCCCGAGATTATCATGAAAAGTTATAATATTCGTTCATTTTCCCTGAAGCTTCAGGTTAAGCTTATCTTGATGTTCGAACACATCTGCTAGGTATGATACTCTCTCCAACCACTCTATGTCGTTTTAAGTATACCAAAAAGTCTTGTTTCCTTTGCACTTCCAAGAACAATTTGATTTCAGATTTCAATTCAAAAACACAATTTACAACATTTCGTTTGACAGCCAGCGTACTGTAAAGTAGAAGAGCAGAACCTCGTGATCTATATTAATGTTTTTGCTCAGTATTTTGAAGGCTCCAGATTTTATATAATTTACGACTTATACTAGCAATTGACTCTTGATGTCGATTGGTTAGGGCAGTGGTTAGGGAGTTAAATCTTTTCTGTTTTCTGAAAGCCCGATTTTGAGATAAAGATAGATGGCGCACCATCCATACAAACCCCCACAGCCGTTCTAACCCACTTTAATCATCCAGTTTCAAAAAAGGTATTTATTTTCTCCATGCTATCTTCATAAAAGAGCAACTCTTCTTTGCTATCATCCGCATGAATATAGTCACAGACCAGCAACTGCGAACACGAACTCACGTCTGTTGATTTATCAACTTGAAAAGCAAACAATGGTAAAAGCTTAATTTCAATAAAAATGTGTTATTTAACATTTACGTTCATGCAGCGTTTGACGACATTTTCTTGCTTGACATTTTCTATCGCGACTTCATTTGATGCTTGTACTAATGCTGGTGAAAACTTCCTGTTCGATCAAGTCTCTGGCGTCTGCAACTAGCTTCTTACCGACGAAAGAACTCCATATATTTTTTGGTGTGTTCTGAATGACTCGTCTCAAATGACGTTTTAGTTTTGAAGATTTCATAGATTTGTGACTCAGAACAACTTTGTATAGTGCGCTTTGTTTCTTCTCTATTACATTTCCAGTAATGCCAATGAAGCCGAATTTTAAAAATTCTTCTAAATATTTATGTTTTGTTTCAAATTACTAAGGTTTAGTATACCAGTTGTCGACCCCCCAGAAAGACCTTCGCGACCCCCAGGTTGGGAACCCGTGGTCTAGAACCTGTGCCACCCACATGAGAGCGGGCTACGCTACCAACTTAGCTATTTACTCGTGACGTCACAAATGAATTTTTATACTATACTTTTGAGTCTCCGCGCATAGATCTAGATCTAAGTCTAGTAGTAGTAACTTTCAAATTAAATTTAATCTTAAATTAGCCAAACAAAGATTTATATAAAATAATTAAGGCCTGAAATAGATTCTAGATGTATTAAGGCCTGAAATAGATTCTAGATGTAGAATTTACATTAAGTCTAGATCTAGATCTAGTAGTGACCTAGATCTAGGCTAGATCTAGGCTAGATTCATAACTTTCCTTCGACAGCAGATCTTTAGATCTAGAGAAATTTATCGTAAAACTAAATGAAAGAGACAGTTGAAAATTGATATAAGTGTTGGAACGTAATAAATACAGCAAACGGACGTATTGTTTAAGTTATAGCCGGCAGAAAATTAGCTTTGTAACGCGTTAAACTTTTGAATGGGCCACAAAGTCTATGATGGAGTCCGCCATTTTTATTTTACCAAAAAGTAAACACATCAAGGGACGTCACTATCCCCACAAAGTTTATTCAATGTATTAACATTTTTAAAAAAATACGGTTAATTTACCTATGAATAAATCAATAAATTAATTAACGTCTTTAAATAAATGTGTGATTAACAGTCTGTCTTAAAACAAAAATTTTTCTCTACCTACATACTATTTTACAGCTTTCCACGATGAGTGCAACCATGCGAGATAGTCAATCAGGCAAACAAACAAACAAACAAAAAAAACAAAAAAATAAATATTCAAACATGTAAACAAACTTGACTTTTAGTAGTATACTAGAATACCCGTCATCCGTTGGATAACTGTGGGTTTCGGGGGTCATCCATCAAAAAACATCACGTCTGTCACTCAGAGGCATAGCGACCCTTCCCGGCGCCCGGGGACAAACTTTTCGATTTGAACCCCCCCCCCCCCCCAAGATTTCGATTTTCAACCCCCCCTCAAACTTTTGATGTGCACCCCCCCCCCACTCAAACTTTCCATTTGAACCCCCCTCAACCTTTCAATTTATTTTTCTAAACCATTTTGGCGCCCCAACATATGTCCCCCCCCCCCGCCCCACCCCCCTTCCCCCCTCCACCTCCCCCCGACTCCCCTCCCCCCCCCCCGCCTCCCCCCCCCTGCCCAGTGTCCCGCCAAGTCTCAGACAACAAAAACGATTCCAGCCGAGCATGTCTCTGACCACACTATCCCTTCATTTGCTTAGGACAAAGAAACAGATGAACCCTACTTCACCTGCCCTGTGCCCCGCGAGGTCCTGATAGTCAACCTTATCATTCACATATAGGGCTTAAGAAAAAATAATTGAAAACGTAAAAAAAAAAGTTCTATTAATGTTTATGACACTGACTTTAAAATTTAGCCTTCATTCTCCAAAGCAAATTTTAAAATGCTTTTCTGGCATATCTAGCCCTGGCCACCTATACCATGTTTAAATAATGTGGACACCCGCCATTTTGCTCGTGGTAAACATGGCCTAAAGATCAGCTGTCATGCGTCCGGTCCGTACGCCATATTGTTGTTAGCAGCCGACCACGCCACCAAGTTAGTGAGTAATCCTACTATATCTAGATATAGAACCTAGATAACAAAAAAAAATCCCATGTATTCTCGAATTTAGATGATCATTGAAGCTAAACAAAGATTTATATAAAATAATTAAGGCCCGAAATAGATTCTAGATGTAGAATTTACATTAAGTCTAGATCTAGAATTTACATTGAGTCTAGTGACCTAGATCTAGGCTAGATCTAGATCTAGGCTAGATTCATAACTTTCCTTCGACAGCTGATCTTTAGATCTAGAGAAATTTATTGTAAAACTAAATGAAAAAAGACAGTTTAAAATTGATATAAGTGTTGGAACGTAATAAATACAGCAAACGGACGTATTGTTAAAGTTATGACCGACAGAAAATTAGATTTAGAACGCGTTAAACTTTTGAATGGGAACACAATTTTCTTCGATAGACGCCGCCATTTTATTGTACTAAAGAGTAAACAAAAAACTGTGACGTCACGGTCCCGCCGAGTGTAGTGGTCGTTCTAAACTTTTTAAAAAAATGGGTTACTCTGCGTATGAATAAATCAATAAATTAATTAACGTCTTTAAATAAATGTGTGATTAACAGTCTGTCTTAAAACAAAAAATTTTCTCTACCTACATACTATTTTACAGCTTTCCACGATGAGTGCAACCATGCGAGATAGTCAATCAGGCAAACAAACAAACAAATAAATATTCAAACATGTAAACAAACTTGACTTTTAGTAGTATATAGATAGACTAATAATATTCCGCCCTGTTATGCACATTTTATTTGGCGTTCACTGGTGTGCAATTTTTTTGCTACGAGATTTTATTCTATTTTAAAAAGTATTTAAAATGGATTAAAATTCATGTCTATATCCCGAGTTGCCATCCCGTTTTTTCTATATAAGAATATTCGAGAAAGTTTAGTGGAGATCACTCCCGGTTTATTCCATTATATAAATAGCCTATATATATATATATATATATATATATATATATATATATATATATATATAATATATATATATAATATACATATATATAATATATATGCTAGCTGCATACCCGTGCTGCGCCGCGGTAAATCTTTTTTTAAATGTACCAACTTGGTAACATAACACATCTAAACACAACACAAACACATCACAAACATAAAAGAAAACACAAACACAAAGGAAACACAACACAAACACAAAAGAAAACAAACACAACACAAATACAAATACAAAAGAAAACACAAACACAATGCAAACAAACACAATGCAAACACAAACGAAAACGCAAGACACAAACACAAAAGAAAAAACAAACGCAAATAAAAACACAAATGAAAACAACTACAACACTCATAACATAAACACAACTTAAATGAAAACATAAACGCATAGTGCTCACAGTCTATCCCTTGGCGCCAAATCGTGTGAGAAATCAGGACAGGTTTACAATAAAGCGAACTTGGCCTGGTGTATCAAAACAGTATAGACTTCAAAATTAGTTTAGAATCCATACAATATTTATAAAACCAAAATCATTACTGTCTTAACTATTGTAAAGATAACCCTACAATAAAAACTTTGCTTAATCACTCTTCAAATGTCGTTAAAGTTCACCAAAGAATCAGATACAAATTTAAAGACCTCGTTATTAGGGGAATATCAATGACTAGTATATCACTACCCTTCATTGCCTTCAACGATTTCCCTACTTCCATAAAAGTTGTGCGACGAGGACAATTGGAAGACGATTGAATAAAACAATTGGGATGAATTCGGTAAATTAATCATTCTGTCTTGGAACGGATGAATCCTTAAGATGACACAACATAACAATTTTAACTTTTTCCCAAAAATAAATAAATAAATCACTCTGTTTAATGCCCCACTGATGTAGATTCCCAATGGTCACCCCCCCCCCCCCCCCGTCGACCTCCTACCATCCCCTCTGCACGCAACTAAATGTTAATGTTGTTATACCTAGACAAGTACATATACAAAAAATACAACAAGAAAGTCAGTACTAGCGTTCATCAGGTTACTAACTGTCTACTAGAGGCATCCCGTCTGCTCACTAAAAGGACGTCTTCATCGGTCCGCACACATTGATACAATAGGGTATCTATTTACGTGTTTCCCAAATTTACCTCCCACGTCAGGTCGCGGGCCAACTATCTCCAGTCAACCCAGGTCAAATGCTAGGCGACCGTACGCACCACACTGTTTTTGTATCGAATTACGGCCTGTCTCAGTTCAGGTGGGTGATAACTCACTAACATCAACCGTGGTCTCGGTTATAACAATCAACAACGTCGACATTCGACCGTTTAGTTTTTCCCAATTGAATTCAGCAACAATTATTTAAGTTTACAAACTAATTCAGATAACAATGACAGTGGTCAAGCGCGGGGCCTGGGGCGACCGCCCCGTTTGCCACCCACTAACGCCGGCTCTGTTCAATACAATAATTTTCAATAAAATAAAAATATTTTTTAAAAGATTTTTGTGACTTTTTTCACTTACATTTTTTTGTGACTTTTTTTTCTGTGACTTTTTTCCAAGCAAAAACTCTTCCTCCCCACTCAGTCCCCACTGTGACTTATTTCCGCTACTCTCACTTTAAATCTTTATGAATGTTGTCTAGTTATTAGGCCCATTGCCCCAAATTGTACTTTGCGCTTATCTCCTAGATCTAGATCTAGAATACTAAAACTTTCAAAGTATCTAGATCTAGAAATCTAGATCTGCTGCAGGAACTTTTAAATGTTTTAAAATTTCATTTCCTACTTACACTAGATCTAGTCTACATCTAGATTTACATTACAAGTATAAATTTAGATTTCTTTTGATCTAAGTTATTTTAATATATTATGCCATAATAAAAAGATATGTAGATCTAGTCCAAATTAGTAGATATCCTACATTGAAATACATTTACGATAGGGCGAGGCCTAACGCTATTTTTCAAGCTAGATCTAGAAATCTGTTTTAAATTAAAGTTTTTAAATTCCCCAACAGCAACAGTGAATATAGATTCTACTCTAGATCTAGGCCAACACGGAAGTTTCCAATAATAATGTCTAGAGTCTAGATCTAGATCTATGAGAATTTATTTCAATATAGATCTAGTATAGATATCTAGATCTAGATCTAGCTAGACATAGATCTAGATCTACTTAGTAGATGTAGTTTAGTATTGTATTACTATTACAATCGCTGAATCACGCTCTAAACAATAGCCAACACATAGTGACTTCGAATGTAAACTAGTCTAGATCTAGATTTTGTATCTAGATTCTATATTTCGTGACTATGGACACTATCTATGCCGGGATTCTTCTACACTCTGTAGTCTAGTTTAGTGATAGATCTAGGTAATCTATATGTTTAGCGTAATCAATTTACCCGGCCGGCTATAACCCTAGATCTAGAATCTAGATCTAAAATCTGGATGCCCAAATGAGAGGTAAAAAATTTAGTACTAGACTCTAGATCTAGATCTAGATCTACTAATAAGTTAACTAATAACTTACTTGCTAAATGAATATACTTTTTATAGTGACTCTCTAAGTCTAGATCTATTATTTAATAAATGTATTTTACAAAATATAGCGTAATTAATATAATTGATTAATGAATAACTATTAGTGGCATAAGCAATCGACAATAACCTGGAGTTAAATTTAAATAAAGGTGTTAGAAAAAAAATCAGTCTCTTTAAAAATAAAATAAAAAATAGAAGAGTAGTTTCCCTTGAAATTTTCTATTCGCATGTATGTCGTGTAAATTTTTGGTGTTCAATATTAATGAATTGCCAATTATGTACACCCAAGTCCTCAAAATCTATTCGGAGGTTCAAGATTTGAACCCTTTTTAAAATGGATTAACTTATCAATATTAGGTAAGATCCTCCATAAAGGTCGTCACACTCAAAATGTGGGAAAGATAAAATTATATGGTAGGTAGGGTGTTAATTATAATATACAGAATACAAGTTATGAAGAACATGTTACAAAGGCGATTTAGGTTAGGTGTGAAGGAAAACTTTGCAGTATGATATTCAAACAATGGCCTGGCTTTTAGTGACCATTGGGGGGGGGGGGGGGGGACATCCAAAAAAGTATGACGTCATTTATGGGTGATCCATTTAAGTTTAGCTGCTTATTCTGTCTGTATGCATTCTTATTAGGCCTAGACTTTTTATGAGTTTAAATTGTTGTGTTTATCAAAATCGGATTACCTTACATTTATATACATGGTTCTGTCTGGATAGCTTCCTGCTTTCATTAGCCTTGAATTTTTTTCAGTCGTCGATGTTTACCCTTCCCCATCATCCATCATTGGAAAAAAAACACTCCATCTAAAGCGGAAGGGATCTCCACTAAATGTTCTCATATATTCTATTACATTGATAAATCCTAATATATAAATCCCCACGTTCGCACATCTCTCTCTCTCTCTCTCTCTGTCTGTCCGCAAAATATTTTCGCCGGACATCACGTCAGAATCGGCAGCGATATATGAAGAACTTTTTACGGACTTTTGTTGAAAATAATATGTTAGATGTTTTAAATGTATAACCACGATTTTAGTTAAAGAAGAAAAATAAAAATTAAAGGCGTATTCGAATGTAGAGAAACAGTATTATTTATGCAACCGGAAAAGCATTAATATATGTGAAAAAGAACGCATAAAACTGTGACGTCACTATTGCTTATACATTAACTAATGACGTCATCTGCCGTGTTTAGAATGAAAAGAAATGAACTATTTCATTCAAATTTGATTACATCTACGTACACTATGAAATGTATACAATACAATTTTTCCGGCCTAAACTCATAAAATTTATTTTATGTATTTGGATTCTAGATCTAGAGATTCTAGATCTAGACTAAATCTAAATCTACGCAATAACTAGATCTAGACTCTAGACGTAGACGCTAAGATCTAGATTTAGACTCTAACTTCTCTAAAATCAATTCCAAAAATAAATTTCTATATTAGGACTAAACTATTTCAAGACTTATTTATTTTATACAAAATCTTTGTTTGGAACTGGCTAATTTGGGATAAAAAATTAATTTGAAAGAATAGGCATATTCGCGTAAGTTAAGATTTTAAAATACGTGTTTCATTCTCCGTATTTTATAAGGTGCCTAAATAGCGGAGATGTTAGTGTACATTAAACCACGCAGGTGGTGCGGGTTCGAGACACAGCAAGTCAACTTGGTTAATGTATTCTTTTTTATTATGCTCGGGCTAAACTTTAAAAAAAAATTCTTTTAGGAATCTAGATCTAGATCTAGATTGTCGGGTGTCCGATAGGGCACTTCCCGGCGCCGCAGGCGCTTCAAATTTGGCATGATCTTGCCTTGGTGCGACAGAACACGGGGGCCGGTTGGCCGAAAAGTCTACGATGTGGGGGTCAAAACTGACCTCGACTGACCGGTACCTTATATGAGCTATAAATCGAAAAAAAATGTCCACGGAGGAACCTCTTCATAACTCTTGAGGTCGTAGACCGACCTTCGGGCGAATTAATTAAGCATTCAAATTCTCAATGTTTTCGAAAGCCTAAGCGAAGCTGGGCAGCATGCCTAGTAGATTAGAATCGCGTAGAAAATGAACATAGTGTGTATAATAGAGCAGAAAATGAGTGCTTTGTAAAGGAAGTTATTAATGTTTAGAAAATTAATTAAACTGTTTTTTAGCGCGATTTCCATACTGACAATTACGATTATTAATTCGTTATTTCTGGATGGTTGGATGGATGGATGGATGTGTGTCCGCAGCTTTAAGTCGTATCTCCTCCTCAACGAAGCAATATCGAGGACTAGTTCCAAAGCAAATATGTTAAGCAAGTTCCGAGGATGATTGTGGGCCAAAAAAATTCCCGGAATTCCTTCCTGGATTTCCCGGAAAAGCCAAAAAACCTTTTAAAAAAGCAGTTTTTGGCCCATATCTCGGCAACCAGACCACTTAGCGACTTGAAACATGTACCAATCGATTCCTGCCATAATTTAGAACAATATTGCCGAAGAAAGTTTTCAAAAATATCCTTTCGTTCGGTCACAAAAATTAATTAAGGAAATTGCGCTTAAATTGTCACTAAACTTTTTATTAACTTGTTTGTTAAAGTTAATTCAACATCTCATCCAGGCAATTTTTATGTCACAATGACTTGTCATCGAGTCTTGACCTACGCGAAACGTTTTGGAGAAATCGTCCCGTAGAAGTAATCTTTTTAGAAATCGGAAATTGCTTAACTTAAAGTAATACGTCTATTCTCCGGAAATCGCTCAAAATTTGAGAGAATCAAGAGGGTAAGATCTTACCCCTATTTTAAAAATATCCACCACCTAACTGAAACGGTACTCAAGTTATCGGTATTTTAAAATCCAGAAACAGAGTAAATTACCACACCCGGCTATCAGAATCCACTCAAAAATTGAAAGTAATTCAAGTATAACATCTTATAGTTATATATAAGATTTCGTCTACCTTAATGAAGCAGTACTTAAGTTAGAGTTCACATTGAAATAAAGTAAAGTACTACTTCCGGTTTCCGAAAATCGTTCAAAAATTGATAGAAACGTGCGCATACAATGTAATACTATCTATATATACATATAATTCTCTTCTTGGAGACCATAGAAAACACCAAGCTGTAAGCGCGCTCCCTACCACCCCCACCCCTACATGGTCTGGTGAGCTGTGGTTCACGCTACATTTTTACAATCGTAGAGCCGGGTTTAGTGACGGCTATTAGGGGCAGATAATTTAGTTTGAAACTATTTTAAACTTAGGGGAGGTAACTAAGAGGAGTTTACTTTCACGCGGGGGGGGGGGGGGGGGGTAGAGTAGGGGTTGGGGGAAAGAAGGGTGGGGGTAGTATCTTCCTTAACGACATACTGATAGTGTTTTAAAGCAAATATTTTCAGTGGCAGCGTTGGTACTGTCGAATTCACAAATTATGAATGACTGAAAAGTAGAAAATAAAACAACTAACTAGCGACGTATGTTACGCCGCGGGTCGGCTCGTATATGAAATTTCGTCTACCTAACAACCGGATACCACTATATTCAGCCGTAAAACTGCAATAGACGCAGCTGCCGACACTCCAGCGATTGCTTGATCCGCCCCTGTCTGTGAGCACTATGGCGCCTGTTACACGCTGTCATTATATATGTAGATGTATGTGTATAGTTGCATGTATAGGTAGGAAATAAGGATAGAGATAGGGAAAATGAAAGAGGATAGGGACAATGATAGGCAAACGATAGTTTTATTATATGGATAGAGAAAAAAAATAGGGATAAGGAGACAGGAATAGGATAACGTATAGGGATAGTGATAGGCAGGAGCGTGCTTGAGCGGGTTCCCTTTCCATCCTGCTGACAAGGCCAAATGTGACACACACGTGACGTTCTTTGTTTTGTTTCGTTCATGTTTTTATCTAGACATTAGACACGCATCTATCTAGACATAAAAGACGCATCTAACTAGAACGCATTTATTTAGACATAAAACACGCATCTATCTAGACATAAAACACGCATCTATCTAGACATAAAACACGCATCTATCTAGACATAAAACACGCATCTATCTAGACATAAAACACGCATCTATCTAGACATAAAACACTTTATTTATCTAGACATAAAACACGCATCTATCTATATATATATATAAAGCAAAGTGGTCAAATTTGGCACGATGATGCATTGGGGCGATAGAACACGAGGGCCGGTGACGGTTGGCCGAAAAGTCCACGGAGAGGGGGTCAAAACTGACCTCGACTGACCGGCGCCTTATATGGGCTCTATTACGAAAAAGACTTTTGCACGACGAGTCCCCCCCCCCCCCTTGAAATTTTGTGAGGTGGTGGGAGAACGCCTTGGGTGTCAAAAAAACTCGCCATGTCCGGGAAAAATCGGGAAATGGGTCAAAACTGACCAGTCGTATTTCCCTATATAATCTTTGTATTTTATGGGAAAAACAGAGGGTAATTTCAAAACAGATTTTAGGACACTTACCGTCTTTACATCTGGCTAATTTTTGGCATGCTTATAGGTAAATGGCTTGGCGGTAGGGCAAACTTGTCGGTTTCACTCAAAGCCCTCGACGATGGCTAAAAAGTGACCGCAAGTGAAATTCCCTTTATATGAGCTCTATTACGAAGAAAACATTTTTTTGCATGCACCTGTGTAAATGGCTTGGCCTTTTGGGAAAACTGTCGGTCTGACTCAAAGCCCTCGACGAGGGCTAAAACATGACCGCGAGTGAAAATCTCCTTATTTGAGCTATATAACGAAAAAAAAAAACTCGCCATTTCTGGGAAAAATCTGGAAATGGGTCAAAACTGACCAGTCGTATTTCCCTATATAATCTTTGTATTTTATATGGGAAAAACAGGGTAATTTCAACATAAATTTTAGGATACTCAACCTCTATTTATC